GTCGGGAATGCTCTCTTTCCGATATTCGGAAGCCACTGCAGCTATGCGCTTTGAGAATCATCTAGATTGAAAACGAATTTCTTTAGAGCTGCTTTTTGTGTTTAGTTTGTTGTCCTTCACCTGCACCTCCGATTAGCACGGTTTACGGTTGACTACGTACAGTGCTGAAAGAAGTTCAACAAACATAAATAGTCCTGGTCTTTTCCGTTCTCACCTGGCGAAACAAAATAAACGAACGATGGGGGAAGATTTGAGCAAGTTAAAACATTAGCCTAACCCTTCTGGAGCGGTGAAAATAAGCAACCTCCAGGATGCCATTTTCAGAGGCCCAAATAAACAAACAAACAAACGAAACGTGTTTCTCGTATAGTTCTTGTTGAAAACATAGACTCGGCTATATCTGTGGCAAAATTTCAGCAATCTAGCCCCCAACTTAGAACATCGTGAGAATTGACACGGGCCAGCCACGATCGTCCGCGTGTATCCGACACCGTTTATGCAACGGCACCGGTGGTGTTGTTTTTGCACCACGCGACATTCAATCAAAAGCTGGGAACGTCTGCTGACTCAAAACAACTTTTGGCGTTCTCCATTGGCAACTCCCTTACAAGGCCAGCGATGGGGGAAATTCGACATTCCCATGACAGCCTCTTCCAGAGGGCTCTCCGTAGGAAACCCCCACTCTGTCGACTCAACGGCAGACGGTTAATTGAAAAGTGCTTTGGATACTCTCGCACTGCGGGCGCGTTGCAAAAATACACGGCGTGAAACCGGACGCCTATTGTGCGTATTATATTTTCCATCAACGGCAAACGGGGATGGCATCTTAAGAGATAGCTACGCATCTCAAACAGCCAGCCCTCCCCGCCTACCACGTTCCTCACCACCACCAGCACCACCACTCCGGCCGGCTGGCTGCAGCCAACTCTGTATATTGAACTTCTTTCGCACCGAACGTAGCCAACCGTGCTAATCGGATCTCCCAAAGAGTGAGCGGCACGCAATCGAATGGTTGCAATTGCAAAGGTATTTTGCGGGGTTGGGGGGAGGTGGGGATGACTCAGCCCATCATCCCTTTGGGGTCGATAAAATGAGCACCGTTCGCTGTAGGGAAATCAACAGTAGCTGTGGTATTAGTGGACTATCCCCTGGCAAGGGAATGTGGAATTTCCATCACCGGCTCCACAGGGGCTGTAAACAGCAGCGGGGCACCGAAAAAAACATCGCTTTGACTTTTGACCACCGCCACGACCGCCACCACCGCCACACTGGCCAACGTCCCCCCACACATCGCAAACAAACCTCAGCGAGGTCCCAGCTTGGTTTGTTTAAAAAAGCGCTCAGCTCAGCAGAGGGGCGCAAGCCAGGAGCCGCATTATTTTAGCAGGTGGTGGTGGCGGCGGCGGCGTTGGTGGCGCGCGCGTGTTTGCGATGTTACGCCTCGTCGCAGAGAAACGAGTGTTGCGTTTCATTAGTCCGCGCGTGATGTATCGAATTGCATACAGTAAAGGCCTTCTCGCTATTCATAGTCGCGGCGCTTATCGCGGACCAGACGGGCGAGGCTTTTGCGCATGCAGGGGGAGCGTTCTATGGCAAGAAAGCAGATCGAGCGAGAGAGCGAGACTTAAAATAATATAAAAGTGAAAAAGTCACGCCAACAGTCGCATCTTTGTGACAGGTGCTCGCCAAAGCTCCGGCAAGGAATGTTAAAATTAGGGGCTGCGAAACGGCACTGTTTGGACGTGGAAAAGCCCCTTGGAATTAAGGGTGATAAAACGACAAACGCGCTTTCATTCCTAAGACCACCCAATGTCAGTGGACAAAAAGATCGCAGAGTTTGGATTCTCAGCGGCACCTTTATTCGAGGATCGTTCAAGGTTAACGAAAAAATTGTTAAAATGTTTGGGCTTTTTTTCTTTTCTCAAACGATCACGGAAAGCAGTTCCCACCTTCCGTTCACAGCCCTGAACCAGTGGTGGCAATTCCCCATTCCTCTGGTGGGGGTGAGTCTATCCATAGGGCACAACTGCTATTTTTTCCGCACAAAAGTTGTTCAAATGAAGTACATAGAAGTGACATGAATTAACATTTTTTTCGAAGGTGTTTCTCTGCTATAGGCACCACATTCTCAAGATCATAAGATGCTCTGGTTGCACTCCAAATTTGTGTCCGTTACTGAAATGATAATGCGGTCACACACATACACAGCTACCAGATTCATAGACGCACCTCTCCAACTTTTGCTTTAAAATAACCTGGAGATTAGGGATACGCGTTTGTCCCGTCAGCGATGCAGTGCCCCGGTGCCAAAAGCGTAGAATTCTTTGCGACAAGCACGCGGCCATCTTAGGACATCAGCTTTCACATCCTCTCGTCGTTACGTTCATTTGAAAATCTTTTTCGGGACGCTTATAAAAAAAACACACACACACGTACGCTTGTGCACGGCAGACCACGGCATCACTGAACCGGTTACAGCCCCTTGTAAAGAGAATCAGCTGTGTTCACACTTCCATGCGATACAAACTCCTCCCCCCCCACACAGAATGTCACAAGCTGCTGGCCGCCATCATGGAAATTACCCAGAATGCTTTGGCCAGCTGTGACGACGCTGCACACGCGAGTTGCCAGTCGACGGCCGCTACCACTCCACACACAGCGGTTCAGTGATCCGTCTCTCTTTCATATACAAACTCAGCATTGCTTTTTTGTTGTTCCGTTGTACAAGGTCCGATGTTTTGGCTGGAGTGCTCTTGCCAATAATATAGGGCAAACTGGTGGCAGCATTTGTTTGAGAAGCCAGATTCTGCTGATGAGACCCAGGATGTCAACACCAGTCCACACTTTGCTTGCTCGAACAAATACTGCTAGATAATATTGGTGTGGAAAGCCAATAGGTTGTTGGACTAAAACACAATTTTTGTATCTACATGGAGAGACAGAACGGAGGCCCGATTCTAAATCTCCATCTTTTATCAACCTCCAATTATAAGTATGGGCAAACGTTAAACAACCCTCATATTGAAAAGGCCAATGAAGCTGTACGGTATGAATGAAAGTTGCGGATAATAATTATAATTACAGATAATTACAGGCAATAAAAATCACGACAAACTATACAAGTCTTGGCCTAGCGAAACACACACTCGTCCTGTGCAATGGGGGAAAAAAACGTGTGTATGTAATGGGAATCAAAGTTTAGTTTTGAGCGGGAAAAAAAGAAAGCAGATGGACTCGAAATGGTGACGCGAGGAGGCCGTCAAAGGATTTGGTTGTCACCCCGAGCGCGGGTAACTCGATGCATTCTCACACGAAAATATGTTTTCGTTTCTCAAAATGGCGTTCGTGTTCACCCGGCCAATGTCACCGTTCCATGGCATTCCGACGGCGAGGTCAAGTCACAGTTGAGGCCACTGACTCTCTCGTCGGGGGTTTTTGTCCGTGCACCCCCCCCACCCCCCGCCCCACCCCATGTCACACTGCGCCGCCATTACTCGAGCCAATTAGGCATCTTACCCAACGCCGGACGGAACTAAATCATGCTTTGTGTTAACCCTTCCCCATTTTGATGACGTACGCGCGCGCACGTACACGCACGTACGCGCACGTCATCGGTTTGTCTTCCGAATCCGTGTGGCACTGGAGTGAATCGGTGAGTGATCGATCGGGAAAGTGCTAATGAAACACTTGAACACCTCTTCTTGGTTCTTTCGGTAAAGTCACGTAGAAGGGAAGTAATAAAATAAATAAAATAAAACATAATAAAATATATTATATTATTTTATTATATTATATTATTTTATTATATTATTATATTATTATTTTATTTTATTATGTTTTATTTTTATTATTTTATTACTTCCCTTCTACGTGACTTTACCGAAAGAACCAAGAAGATGAATCCCTGCAGTCACGAATGCTTTAAATCGAAACTTGAACACCTTTGTCAACAACACAATGTCCACCGCACAATAGGTGACGTTTCTCGGTAATGACCGAATCGTCATAGCACATCTGTATATCTACATCGGCTCAAGCCATCGGTAAATGAAAGGACGTTGTAACCGTATACTCTGCATTGTTCAAGCAGTTTTAATAATGATACAGAGCAAGGAGGCGGCGCACGGATCCGATCCACGCGCCAGCAAGCAGTGTTGGTGGATCACACAAAGCATTTGGCCAAACGTCCCGGCGCAGGACCGCTCCTGAAAATGAGTCTTGAGACTCAGCGAGGCTTTCGTGGGATTATTATGGATAATTAAAGGACGTTACGCACCATGTTCTCCGCACTGCTAAAGCAATTTCAACAACGATACAATATCCACCAGTTTATAAAACGCTTAAAAAAGGACGCTATAAATGCGCCTCAAAGTTTGGCGTCATTTGCCAAGAAAATTAATAAGAATGTTTTATCTTTGGGAGCATACGGCACGACGGAGGGCCGTCTTCCCGAAGATCATTTTGAACGTGCCCCTTTAAAAACCGGGAGGGGGGGGGAAGAGAGGTCTTCTAATTCTAAACGATTACATTAAAAGGTAAAGTCACGTAGAAGGGAAATAATAAAATAATAAAAAGAAAATATAATTCAATAAAATAAAATAATTATTTTATTATGTTTTTTTTATTTTAATAATAAAAAGAAAACATAATAAAATAAAGTAATTATTATATTATGTTTTATTTTTATTATTTTAGTCACGTAGAAGGGAAATAATAAAATAATAAAAATACAACACAATTAACTAATTATTTTATTTTATTATGTTTTCTTTTTATTATTTTATTATTTCCCTTCTACGTGACTTTACCGAAAGAACCAAGAAGATGAATCCCTGCAGTCACGAAAGCTTTAAATCGAAATTTGAAATTAAAAGGCTTATCCCGGGCGGTAATAGTCGCTTCCTGGGTTTGGCGATTTCTTTGAAGTAAAAAAGAAAAGGTTACGACCGACAACCGGCTGACGGAGGCCGTGCGTGGCCGTGACTCTGCAGCGCACTCACCCTGCAGCTGCTCCTGGACATCTCCAGCTGGCGCCAAAGGAACAAACGACTTCACCTTCACCGGCACGGCCCTCTGCTCAGACGCTGGGCAACCTACCTCGCGGTAAATCACAGACGAACAAACACATGCACTTTTATTCGTATTCATATGAACTTTAACCAAAATTATTCTTTCCTCTCGTCACCAGAGACAAGGTGACCGTTCGTCCCTCCCCGCCGCCCCCCGTGCGTTAGAGAACGGCCCACAGAAGCGGATGTCGCAGAACCATTTTCTGAAGATTTCAGTTTCTTAGCGACCTTTTTATCCACACTCGGGGCGATGCAAATTTCCTACCCACCCTGCAACGAAGAAATGTATATCGCATGGCGGTCGAAACAGCGTTTGCATTTTTTTTTTTACTTTCAGAGAAAAGGTGTACTAACTATATAACAATTTTTATTTTATCAGGTAAGGCCCACTGAACTTCATAGATTTTTTTCAGAAGCGACCTGGCCACAAATGGTAACTCAACTAAGTGGCTTATCATGATGTGGAAATATATATCAGCCAAATACTTTAAACGCATTTTGATTCTAAATGTAGAGGGAAAAACGGGAGGACCCGGAGAAAAATCCACGCGACCATGGGGATTGGGATCGAACCCACGACCTCCTGTATACCAGGCGAGGTAGTTAACATCTCCCAACCGGTGGCGTCTTGTAGCTCTGAGAGCCAATACCCTAGACCATTACGATTCATCGTTTGTGCATTTTCCCCACACACAGCCTCTCGCGACCGATATTCCGACTGGCGTTTTAAGTTGCTTGTTTTTCAACCTCAGCTGGAAAAACGCCCAAAATCACCCGAATAACGACGCTCCACAGCGGCGTGTGCACGCTCACCGTCTTGCTCCGACCTGGACAGAGCCTCCAGCTTGCGCTGCTTTAACGAGTCGACCACGTCGGCGAGGCAGGTTTTGCGACGTTCCGGAGTTCCTGACACAGCGCCAGCAGCAGCGACAGCGGCCGCGGCAGCGGCGGCGGCGGCGGAGTTCCCATCCTCGGCTCGCTCGTCCGCGACGGCGCCTCCGTCCGCCGGCTCCTCCACTACGGGACCTCTGCCACGCGGCCACCGTTCCTCCGCGACGGGACCTCCGTCCCCGGGCTCCTCCGCGAGGAGCTCTCTGGCGTGTGGCCACCGCTCCTCCGCGACGGGGCCTCCGTCCGCGTGCTCCTCTACAACTAGAACCCTGCCACGCGGCCACCGCTCCTCTGCAACGGGACCTCTGCCTCCCAGCTCCTCCGCGAGGAGGCCTCCTCCCACAACGGTGCGCCACCTCTCCTCCGCGACAGGGCTCGGCAGCCCGCAACCGTCTTTCTCTTCCGCCCTGGGGTTCCTGACGGAGCGGAGGCGCGGCGACAGAGGAAGAGTAGGAAGAGGAGGACTCCTTCTCTTGGCCTCGGAGGCTGAGTAGGCGCCCTCCTCCTCCTCCGAAGAAGAATCGGCGTGGAACACTCGCTTGCGCGGATCACCGCCTCCTCCGTTGCTTCCGCCGCCGCTGGCGCCGCCGGCGTCGAACGGCGTGGGCTGGTCGGAGCCGTTCTCTGCCGACGGAACCTCCACCACGGGGCCTCTGCCATCCGGTGACCAGCGGCCGACCAGCAGGTGCTGCATCTTGAGCTCCACGTCCCCGCACGACCGTGGCTCCGCGGCAGAGCTCCACCGTGGGGCTCGCTCCGCGTCCAGGCCTCCGCGAGGGGAACCGCGTTTCGCCTGCGCGCGTCGGAGGCGTGAAAGTAAATCACCACGGCAACGTCGATTATTTACCCGTTTCAATGCCACCATCATCGTTGTCGTCGTTACGATGAGCAGCAGAAAAACATCTATCCACTGCTGGATGAAGGCCAGCCGCAAGCTGATGCGATTTCTCAATGTCACGTGATGCGAAAATCCATCTCGGCTACTGCACACGAGCCAATTTCATCGCTCCATCTCTGTAGTAGAGCCTGGCTGCAGGAGGCTCCGTCTCCCGTGTAGTAACTAGACCAGAGTGGAGGACGAAGACTTTGGCACGGCATGGAAAAGGAAGAGAAAAAGGAAGAAGAGATGTCGAGAGAGAGAGGGAGGAAGAGCGAGGGAATGATGGAGAGCGAGGATAGAAGGAAGTTGGCAAATCCCTTGCATGTGGGAGCACGTGGTTTCTCCTCCCGGAAGTGTCCTCACCTCCGCGGTGGGGCTGCCGCGGGTTTCCTCCGTGGTGCGCGCGTGTCCAGGGCTCCACTCCATCAGCGTGTCCCGCTCCGCCGTGGGGACCGGGTCCTCTCGCGGAGGTGGCGACGCTGGCACAACCCGGCTGTTTCCCACGCCGCCGCCCTGGTGAACGCGGCACATGGGTTTGGGTTTGAACTTTTTTCTGTCTCGACGCGGTTGAGATGAGAGCCGCGACGGTCAGTCGGTCAAATCGACTAACCCTATTCCCGTTCTGATGACGTACATGTACGTCATCGGAATGAAGCTGGAAGAAAAGGTAAAATAACTTTATCGGTACCAAGGCTCCCACGAGGCCATGTAGGAGGCCGTGTGGCACAGTCTGACGCCATCTATCATGGAGTGCAGTCGTGTCGCTACGGGTTCTCTGCGGTGAGTACAATGTCTTTAAAACCAATGGCGCTACAACTCTATAAATAAAAAGAACGTCGAGCCCGCTTGCGCATTTAAAGATGCAGCGGTGAACGGGACACCCCACTCTGCAACTTGCAGGGTGCGATGTCACGGTAGTGGCGATAAGAGAGTGACCAGGAGGTGACCAACTGCCCGGTGAGTGAGCGAGCGAGCGATTGGAGTGAATCGGTGAGTGGCCGATCGTGAATCGCCCCAACTCGCGGCTTTACCCCGAGTTCCATGGAGTGCAGGAGGTAGGAGCTGGACACTCCACCCGAAATATGACAGCAGCACGACTCAAGCGCTGGCCCAACGTGCGCTTCGTATGTGAATGGATGTTGAACCGGTGCATGCGGTCGTTCGTGCGTGATAGAGTCAAACCATCCGATCAACGCATCGTGGCTGGCTGAAAACAACGCGTGTGTGCAACATCGCAACATCGCAACATCGCCCCCCCAACTCTCAAACTACCGCAGGCTACCTCCATACTCGTCTCTGACAACGTATGTACGTTTGAACTTCTTTCGCACCACACGCAGCCAGCCGTGCTAAAGTCGGTGGTGCGGGAAACAACAGTAGTCATAACTGTTTGGAGGCGAGTTAATTACATGGTGGAATACTCTGGCCCCTTAAAAATTGCAGCCGCCCTCCCTCTCCCCCACCACCACATCCTGCCGCCCGAAAATGAGACACGTGAAGAGTCCGATGACACCAATAACGTCATCAAACCGCCCCCCCCCCCGCGTCACCTCCCGTCCAGCGGCACAAGAGGTGTACACTTGTGTTCTGTTTTTCAAATATTTCCGCGCTATCGGGCAAATGGAACCGTTAGTCGGTCGAGGAGTCAACGACTTGAGTAGTCGGATGACAGCCCAGCTCTCGAAGATGCAATTGACACACCGAGGGGGCGATCGGTGCAATGATTCAGGGTTGCGATTGATAGCACCTCTAGCAGAGGTCGCAAACGGGTTTTGATTCCTTACCCGTACCCGTACCCGGCCGCACCAGGGTCGCAAATGGGTACCCGTACCCGGCCGGGTACGGGTAGCCGGGTATCGGGTAGGGTACGGGTATCGGGTACCCGGTTGCGACCTCTGACCTCTAGTGGCTGCAGGAGCGGCGTGAAAGCGTTCCATAGAACGTCCACGGAATGGAAAATGAGGTTCCTTCTTCGTGCGGTCTGAAGCCTACATGGCCAGCTCAAGAATAAGTATGAGTCGACGCATTAAGTCGACAATTAGATGCATCAGTCCGTTCGCACAAATGTCTCTCGTCGTTTAAACACACCGCGTGATTTTTCCTGCGGGTCCTAAGCTGCGCGTTATGAGCTTAAAGCTTTGTGAATGAGATTTAAAGAGAGAGGAAAAAAAAGGCTTTGAAATCGCAGACAGTTTCTCCGTCGCATTTCTCAGAGGTCAAAAGTCAAAGTGATTTCCTGCTCAAACATGAGCGCCGAAGCACTTGGCGCTCATCTCCCGCGCACAGCCCCGAGCTCGACCGACCGCGTCTGGTTTCGGATTGACGACGTCCGTGGTCGGCAAGATGCCGGCGTGGGGTTTGTGTTCAGGGCGACATGAACACGCCGTACTGGTGGGGGGTCACCGTGGGAAAGGGGCTCACCCTCTCCCACCCAAGATCGCCGGCGTAACAGTGGCACAAAGCGGACGTCCAGAATCAACACCTCATTCAAACATCGCATTACATCTCGATTCCTCCTCCTCCTCGAAAACACTGGTGGAACCATCAACAGCATCAGAAAATTCATCGGAGGCTGATGCTGTGTGTTGAGCTTCTTTTACACAGTACGTAGCCAACCGTGCGAATAAGAGGTGCGGGGGGGGGGGGGCAAGGACAACAAACTGAACACAAAAAACAGTTGTAAAGAAATGAGTTTTCAATCTAGATTTCAAAGTGCATAGCTCCAGTGGCTTCCTAGTATCGGAAGGAAGCGCGTTCCAGATGGCCGCGGAAGTGTATCTGAAAGTGCGCGATGCAGTGACCATCTGTAAGGAGATGCTGCACATCACCTTTATAAAAACAGAAAAATTAAGCCATAGTCGTTCGATTGTGGCCATGCAAACCTAAACCATGGACCAAATAGTCGACCCGTAGAGACCCATGAACATCCACGGAGACATACAGAGACACACAGACGACCATGAAAATACACAGAGGTACAAAGGGACACATACAGACCCAAAATATACATAAAAAATTTGCCACGGGAGTGAGATTGTGGCCATGCAAACCTAAACCATGGACCAAATAGTAAACCCGTAGAGACCCATGAACATCCACGGAGACATACAGAGACACACAGACACACATGAAGATACACAGAGGTACAAAGGGACACACAGAGACCCAAAAAATACATTAAAGATTTGCCACGGGAGTGAGCTTGTGGCCATGCAACACAAACTCAGGACCCACAGAGTAAACCCACTGTGGCCTGCACTCCTTCGATGGAGGAGGAACGCTGTCATGAAGCCCTCTCGCCTTGGCTAGCAAACCTCTACATTTGCATTCATCTCTTGAACATATTACCACGCGCAGGAATAGAATAGCCCGGAGCTAACTTGACGGATATTCCACATTCCTACGGGGGAGGGGGGGGGGGGTTGGCGAGCCTATCCATAGGCCAACTACTGTTGACCTCCACACAGAGTGGTGGATATTTTATCGACCCTGGAGGGATGATGTGCCGAGACAACCCCCCACCCCTGCACGACCAGGATTCGATACTCACTGGGTCACCTGGTCGGTTACATTAGTACGCTCACACATGTCTGTGCTTATTCTTAGGTTTTTTCGGTAAAGTCACGTAGGTAAAAAAATTAAAATTAATAAAAGTAGAATAAAATAAAATAAAAATCACGACATTTCGGAGGCAACACAAGCTTCCGTCTTCAGGTGGAACCGTCACAGCACGATAGCTGTATCATTTTATTTTTATTTTTTTACCTACGTGACTTTACCGAAAAAACCTAAGAATATGAATCCTTGCAGTCACGAAAGCTTCAAATCTAGAATGTCTGTGCATATTTATGAGTGTGTATATACATGTACAAAGACAAAGATCCCCCCGTATAGCCCTTAACAGACTCGGGGCAAGTGCTGTTCGCGAGCACCTACGAAGGCCGGCACGGCGTACGATGGAGTGCATGGCCAGAAACACGCCAGGCCGCCTTTGTCTCCCCTTTGCTCATGCTATACACACATCGCGCCGCGTACTCATTTAAGGCCGAGATGACCTAGGGGAGGGAGGACCCTGTAACGTTTGAGGTTATATTCGTCACGGTCGTGATCAGGAACCGAACTCGCGTCACCAGGTTCAGTAGCGCAGCGGCGCTAACCTACTGTCCCACCACTCCCCACATCCTTAACACGCTGTTAGGGCAAGCTCTGTTAGTGAGCACCTATGAAGGCCGGAACGGTACACGAGGGGGTGGGTGGCCAGCACCACGCCCGATCGCCTTTGTCTCCCCAGTAGCAATATTTACACACTGCACCAGGTACTAATTTGAGGCTGAGTCGACTTAGGAGAGGCCCAGAACCGGTTCAGATGATCGTCAGCACTGGCGTTGCTAGGTTCGTAGCGCAGCAGCACTAACCGCTACACCACCGCTCCCCACATACACACACAGACACACACGTGTAAACACATAGCGTGCATAAACAGAAACACACAAAGCACACTGTCGCGTTAAAGCGAGTCGCGGGGTGTTGCTCTCGAAGAGCATCACGGCACGCACAGAGTCTCCCTGTAGCAACTTGGCAGCCAAGTGAAGTAAGTGTAAGAGAGAGCGAAAAAAGAATTACTTAAAATAATACGCGGAGTAATAATGAAATAACACACAAAAATAACCCGAAATTACTATTTTTTTTCTGGAAAAAATCAACGCAGCGCGTGTCAGAGGGCCGACTGTGAAAGACTCAATCAGTGGCGTTTCTCCGCTTTATTTCATTTTTTCCCCCCCTACTTTTTTTTTCCACGGACCGTTAAAACAAAGGGTTCTCTCTCTTTTTTTTGAGAGAGGTGGTTGGTGGTGGCTTGGGGTTCTGGGAGCACAGGGAGGGGAGGGCAGGGGTGGGGGAGGAGGGGGCGGGCGGGCGGGCGGGCGAGAGAGGGCACAGGGGAGGAGATGGGAGGGTAGGAGAGGGGAGGGGTAGGGGCAGGGTGGGGGAGGAGAGGGCAGGGTGGAGAAAGGGGGCAGCTGGAGAGGGGAGGGGGTATGGGAGGGGTAGTGGAGGGGAGGACAGAGGAGGGGAAGAGGCAGGGCGGGGAGGGCAGGGCAGGGAGCAGTGTCAAGGGCAGCAGTGGAGAGAGGGTGGCGGTGGGGTGGAGTCACGGTGGGAGGGTCAGGGAGCGGTGGCGCAGCGGTTAGCGCGCTGAGCTGAGCTATGAACCCGGCGGCCCGAGTTCGATTCCCGCTCACGGCCACCAACGCCCAGTGACGATTATCTGAATCGGTCCTGGACCTCCCCCTAGGTCCACTCAGCCTCAAATGAGTACCTGTAAGCGGTGTGCAGTAAGCATCGCCACAAGGGAGACAAAGGCGGCCGGGGCGTGTGGTGCTGGCTACCCCATCATCGTAGGTGCTGCCGCTCGCTAACAGCACTTGCCCCAACAGTCCGTTGAGGCTATACGGGATCTTCGTCTTTGGTGGGTGGTGGTGGGCCAAATTTTGGGTGAGCGGCGTGGCGAGCAA